CACATGAAGAAGTAATAATGATTGTCAAGCTTTGGGGTGTTGATCGACTCCATCAATGTTTTGATTATCATTCTAAATCCAATTAATAGTCATTTTTCAGCTTTTTGTTCAAAATCTTGTTAATTTCTTTATTTTTTTACATTTTTTATTTATCAAACTTACCCACATTCAAGTGTTTAAAAAAAGAATGCACGAAGCTAGAATAAAATATTTTTGTTTACAAGCAGATACCCTGTTCTTTTGAAGTTTTGTATGTTCAGATATACGTAGTAGTATACTTAAAGTATGATGTAAAGTTCACTTAAAGAAAACTACTGTTATACTAAAAGTATACTTTTATATACTAGAAAGTGGGCCAATTTAGTCCCAATGAGTATTGAAATAGTACACTTACAAGAATACTACTAGTACACTGATATTTGTATACTTACTACATAAAGTATACTTAAAAATATACTTGAACTTTACTTAAGTATACTTAATAAAATAAACTTGAAGTATACTACTTTTTGGTAAGGGTTGTCTTTAAGTGTCAATGTCCACTGATTGTTTCATCAGTCTGTGTCTTTGTTTGATGCTGCAACCAAGTGACTTGGAATTGTCCAGATCTATCACACACTTAAAGCTTCTGAGAGCAAAGCTCTTCTCTCTCTCAAAGCAAGCGCACATTTCAAATTGTCCAGATCTATCACACACTTATAGCTTCTGAGAGCAAAGCTCTTCTCTCTTCAATCTCTCAAGGCAAGTGCAAATTTCACATTGGCGAATGAGTCATTCGTGACATAACGAGCAGATAAAGACTAATTGAATCGTGTCCGAGGAGCAGAGGAGGACATTACAGAACAATGGGCTGACTATTTCTTCCTCTCAGTGCTCACTTCCTGTTGAGAGAGAACTTTATTTCCTGCTTTTTGGCCATCCCTGGTTCAGCTGTTTATAGTCTACAGTGTAACGCGCAAGTCTGCAAGCACAGAATCAGATTGCAATCATGTAAAACTCATTAAGCGGATGTTTTTACCAAGACCAAGATTAATGCAGATAAAAACCGCCACAGGAAAACTGCTCCTCCAATTGCAGATGAGGAAGAGCAAAGAGCAAACATAAGGGAAGAGATATAGAGGGAGCTGGAATTTTCCTGCCTCTCTCTCACTGGGGTGATTTCTCTATTATTCTCAACAGCAGACTGATCGTGTGCAAACACAACAGATGTGAGGGAAATTTGGTAGCAACAGGGAGGAGAATTAAAACAACATTAAGCATCCAGCAACTGGAAAATCACACTTCCCTTTTCCATGCCAGTGACTCCCATTCGAATGGAATTGTACCACACATCTAATTAGATTCTAATGAAGTCCTCCCCATGGAGGAGGTCTGTTGAGACATCAAGCATGCCCCTCTCCTGAACCTCCACACCTCTTCGAAGATTTCAACAGAAAGAAAGATGGCAAAGAGTGAGGATGACTGCTTGAAACTTCACGTACAGCTTTAGAACACCTGTGCTACTTTCACTGATTAAACAAATAAGGCAACATATCTCTCTTGCTAGCCTGCAATCAAGAGGTTGCAATTAAAGTGTGACAAAGTTGAGCATAATCACGTATGAAGAGGATTGCGTAGACTGACAATCTAATTTACGTAGCGAAGAGGACCGATTCCTGCATCGCCATGTTTGATTGAGTGATGTGATATTAGAACTAGGGCTTTGCATCAAACAGACTGACAGGTTGTCATATGAGAGGGCACAGTGCTGGACATGGAGGGACTGTATAGTCTTCATGGTCTTTATCTCAGCGAGAAGAGACAGACGAGTGATATTTTAGCTGTCCCTTCTTTCATACGCTGCTAGTTGTAGTTAACGTAGCAGTGTCAATCAAAGCCCTTTCAGTGGAGTCGCCATAAACAATCTATTGTTTGACTGAATGTAACAATTCTATGGCTGTGTACAATCTGATTTTGATTCAGTTCTCTTTTCAGTTTGATTCTGAATCAGTTGAATATGTACAGTATGTATTATAATGTCTATATGTATGAATATGTATGTATAATAATGTCTCTATATGCTAATGCAGTAAATTTTACAAGGCAGTGTTTCAGACCAATTAAACTGTTAACTTGTGCTTTTCAATGTTTCATAAATCACACACACACACAAAAAAAAAAAATAGAACATGTAATCACCCTCATGTCATTCTAAACCTGTATGACTTTCAATCTTATTGAAGAATGTTTAAACACAAAACTGTTTTGGGGGGGTCAATACAATGAAAGTGAATGGGGTCCAAAACAATACTGGACCCCACTGATTTCATTGTTTACCAAAAAATAAAAAATAAATAAAAATCTCAAAATATATCTTGTGTTCTGCAGATGAAAGAAAGATTAAAGGGCTAGTTCAGCCAAAATGAAAACTGTGATTTCCTTACCTTCATGTCGTTCCAAACCTGTATGGTTTTCTTTCTTCTGCAGAACACAAAAGAAGATATTTTGAGAA